GTAATAAACTGCAAATAAAAGTAGGAGGAAAGGAGGTGGAGAAGTAGACTGAAAAGGAGGTAGTTGGATGCGGTTGAGAATGATATGAAGATAGCCGGTATATGTGAGGTGGGACATCAAGTAAATTAAAAGTTTAGAAAGAGGGAGCGGACTTTAAATAGTTGAGATAGAGGCGAAGGAGAAGGAAAGCAATGAACTACACGTACACGGGGATTTAATTATATTTAACGTAATGTATTTAAACTTAAGATATTGCTATTTTCACGTAATAGCGTTCTATATTACAGTCAAGATCGTAACAAAAGAGGGGAGCGGTGCCTACGTTCTTGGTGAAATGCCTGGAAGGCAGCAAAAATGTCTTGAAAACCTACAAATATTACGTAAAAAGAAATTAATAAACAAAACATTTTAAATTTAGGATATCCAACAGTGATGAGATATGAGAGATAAGACTCATATAACACTCATTTGAATTTAGTTTAAAAATCGTTCAGCTATGCGTTTTAATCATAAATTAGACTTCGAAATTCGCCCTCATTTGAAGTTTCACACCGGATGCAATATTTGGTTGATAGGATTCTGATCACGGTACAATAGTGCTAATCAGTGATTTGCACTCGTTGACAACGTAATTTATTACATTATTCTCTCTCTATATATATATATATATATATATATAGAGAGAGAGATACCTAATATAATCGGCTATTTATTATAATTTGGCGTGCAACGAATTATGTAAAAAAAAAAAATTATAAAAAAATACCCATGTCGATTGATCAATAACGTACCTACTTATTAGTAGGTACGTTTAAAGATAAACACCGAACGACCGCGATTAATAACGATGATGACGACGATCGTGTTTCACGAATATACGTGAAAGCCGCGACTTTATTTAAGATTTTCGTAATAATCGTACGAGATGTTGTGTAATATCAGAGTTTAGAATTTTCCTTTAACCACGAACCAACGATTATCTATACGAAGATTTTGGTTTTTTTTTTCCGGAATATTATATTGGTAATAAAAAATCGTTTAATAAAAATGTTTTGAAAATTTTAGTATTTTATTCGGTGTGGTACCTACTTCTTACTCTGGGTAAATGTAAGTACACGAGTACTATCAGGTAAAACAAAAAACATAATATATTAGTTTCTATACAATAAAAACAATGTACGTATGTTGCTTTCAAAATATTTTAAAATAAATATCATGATAAATTTTGTAAATGTATAATTGTAAAAAAAAAAAATTAAATTAAACGGATACTTGTAAGTACATGTTTGACCAAATCAAAAAAAAAAAATGCATTCTGGAATAAAAGTTTAAATAAACTTACATATACCTTTGAATTCAAACTAGCACATATTTTGATTTACCATACGTCAGTAGCGTACCTAGGATTTTTCATTATCAATTATTTGTAAAAGAAATTAGAAGTGCAAAAAAGAATTGAAATATTGTAGTCATTTTGAAATGAGGGAGAGTTAAACACCCTTCGCTATCGAATCCCCACTAATTGCTACCAGTGGCACAAAAACAGATAAACATAAATATAATATAATATACACATATGAACTTTTGATTTTAAAATGTGGTAACTCAGATATTCTTAAACTTTGATTCAATAAGAGAAATGGTCCTTTTTTAAATATTTTAATAATACGAGTTATATATTAAATTTATAACTTATAACAAAAAAAAAAAAAAGAGAGCTATTACTGGACGGATGTGTTACTGTTGTAGTTGGACATTTAAGATACCTAAAATTATTTAATTTATATGTGTAAGCAACGATAAACCATTATTAACGAAAAACGATTCGGAGGGAAGTTCGGTTATACATGCTTTGAAAGGCCATAATATTTACAATTTTTGTCATAATTTGAATATAAACTTATAAAAAAAGAAAAAACCATATTACTTACACTTTTTTTTTTTTAACTGATAAGTATGACTTATAATGTACCTCCTGTTAAATTTTCAAGTATTTCTGTTAAGTCTAACAATTGTATCCACAGAATATAGTATAGAAGAAATTAGAAACTAGAAATTAGTATAGAAATTGTTTATAATTGTTCATATTATCTTTATTTGTAGTCGTAAATATTAGTAGCCGCCAAACTAAGTTAAATTATTTGTATTAAATTATCGCACTTAATCAAATATGAACAATTTCTATACCAATGAGTTTAAAAATTTATTTATCCCCTTTTAGATATCACAACTTTTCTAACTTGAGTTTTTTTTCTTAGCGAGTTTTTACACGTAGTTGACTGAGGGTTTTTGTTGGGATATGTTTACTGTACGGCTAATCTTCATAATATTATCTTCATAATATTGTCATTTCCATTTATAAATAATATTAAAATAAATAAACGCGTAGTTTATACAGCATCGTCAATATCATACAAGATTTTTAACATACCAGAAAAAGAAACGGTTTATATGTGAAATTTGTAATAAAATATTTTTAGCGACTGCGTCCAACATAATATTATAGAAAAGTAGGTAGAAATACTATTCGACGATGCATAATAAAATACGATAATTATACAGACGCATGAGAGAAACTGTTTTCATGTAAACTTTGCAATAAAAAAAAAAAAAAGTAAATAAAATCTCACTATATTATACCTATTATATTAAAAAAATCAATCATTTCAAAAAACCACCATCACCCAAAAATCGGGAAAACGTGTAGAATTTAAGCCGTATACTTTATTTTTAATGAAATTAATAAATGCAATAATTGCATATAAAGTTTATCATAAGTTGCTCTTATAAAAATATGAAAGAAGTTTCATGTTCAAATTTATAATAAAATAACACGTTAAAAACACGAACAATAATATTATTGTGTATAGTTACACGATGTAAATAGAAATTCAGCAAAGAAAAAAGAACCATTATCTGCATCTAAATCATATTATAATATGTTTGCAACGAATTATCGTTGCGTTTTCTTAATTTAAAAATCAACATTTGCAACTCTCCATGTAATCTACAATAGCATTCTCAGAAATTTCTATTTAGGGAAGGGGATATACAAATTATTTTCAAAGTGAGCCGTAGAAACTACGGTGGGGGCGTCCACATCCCCACAATAATCATTTTTTGATTTTTCAAGGAGTTTTCTTAATGAATGGGAAAAAAATGGGAAAAACCTAGGAAAAACGGGAAAATAGGTAGAGTATTAAACAAAAATATTTGTTTATTATTAATGAAAATATTTTATACATATGTAATTATTTTACTATGATATATAATAATTATAATATTAAATTTCCCCTCTACTAACCATCCCTACTTCTAACCTATAACGGTGACTGCACCCGTCCCCATTTTTCTAGGACAGAGATTTTTTTGTTTTATCTAAAGTATAAACAATTTTTAGCATGCCACTGGTATAATGGTATCAGTTATTTCACAAATACATTTTTTTTTTTATCATTATTTAATGACGGAAAATCACCCATTTTAAATTGGTTTATTTTACACGTAGTGCCAATGTACATTTTGGTAATATGCCTATCACTTGGAACAAAAAATGATTATGAGTGATAATGATTAATAACAATTTGTTAAATAGCAATAAATATACTTCAATACCCGTTATTTTTCACTGAAATGGTTAAACGACCGTGTCCATTTGTTCCAAACCCATTAATTCGAACGAATTTGTACGATATTAATCACAAATCATTTAATTTCCATTATTATTTTACTATCTATCAGGAAATTCACGTGATGGTTTTTGGGCAGGTGCCATTATGCAATTATGACTGAGTATACTATTAAATTGGCTAAAATTGTTCTAAAAAAATATGTTTTATCAGTAACTTGTAAAAATTAAAATTGAACTATAAAAAGCAAAATTTTATTATGTAAACATCAAAGAGGTATATATTTCTATCGAATTTAGATCTAAAATATGTTTGAAATAGAAATTTATTGTAAACAAATTTTTTTTGTGTTATGAACAATTTTCAAAAAGTCACTTAAATTATTTTGCCTTTTACTTATAATAAAAAGAAAATGAAAAAAAAAAAACATATCAAATTCATGTGTAAATACGGCTGTAATCCTTTCCTTTAAATAGTTATCGAGCAGTAGATTAGGGCAAGTTTTATTATTATTGAGTGGTCATTAAAATGTAAAATAGTTTTTTAAATTTTGAAAAACTGGAAAACATTTAGAAAATCGTCAACATTCTTCTTAACAATAAATTTTAATAGTGAATGAATTCAGTACTATTTTGAAATATAAAAAAAAATCTTTTAGTAGATTTATTATTAGTTAATATACTATAGTGACATTTTATATAGTGACTATACAATTTTATTTTACCAGTTAAACCAAAACCATTTGAAATACACATTCCAGCTTTGAGGCCTATGAAAAGTAGAAGAAGAGATTTAAGCACACTTCACACATAATAATATATGATGTAGAAATACGAATTTTTATACTCACGATATTTCTTTGTAGAATTTCAATTTAATTTCAAAGGTTTTTTAAATTGTATATTTTGTTTATATCTTTTAAATAATACGAGATTTGGCTATTAAATAACGAGATTGCGCGCCCAGAGAGCATTCTAAAAAGGTTAGGGGAAAACCGAATACAGCGCTGGTTAGCAGGAAGTGTCTATTATGCCAATACAAAATTGGGTTTTTGTTGGTGCATTAGTATTTTTTCTGTAGCGTTTAGAAACGAACATGTTTTTTTCTCTTGCCGAAAACGATGTGTGACGAAAAACATGAGTAACGGATAAACGTAAAATTTTCTCGTTAAACTAAAAAAAACTCCAACTGAGTGCTATAAGTTGTTAAAAGAGGCCTATAGTGAGGATTTCCTATCTCGGGCGTGTGTTTTTGAGTGGCATAAATTATTTTCTGAAGGTCGAGAGTGCACCGGAATCCAATTCAATCGTAATCCAAATTCAAAACCATGCTGATCGTTTTTTTCGATATCAACGGCATCGTGATGACTGAATGGGTTCCAGAGGGTCAAACTGTGAACCAACATTACTATTTGACAGTTTTGGCAACATTGTGCGAATGAGTTCGTAAGAAACGGTCGATATTGTGGAAAAACAAGTCGCACCTGCCCATAACGCGCTGTCTGTGAAGCGTTATTTGGCCGCTTAAGGCACTCCAGTACTCGAACACGCGTCTTACTCGTACTCGAACACGCGTCTTACTCACTCGACTTGGCACCCTGCGACTTTTACTTGTTTCCGAAGATAAAGTCTGCCTTTAAAGGAATCCGGTTTGAGCCGATGGAAGAGGTGAAACAAAAATCGGCGGAACTTCTGAATGGTCTCACGAAAACAGACTTCCAGCACTGCCTCGAGCAATGGAAGAAACGAATGAAACGGTGTGTGAAGAGGGAAGGAGAGTATATTGAAGGGGAACATTCGGTTGTGGAATAATTTTTAAAATAAAACCATTTTTCATAAGGAGTCTCGTTATTTAATAGCCACACCTCGTATATGAATACCGCACAGTGTCTACAGGTATAATGTTCAAGTTACCAGTACTATCAATAAAATCGCCTACGACGGATAACTATAGACCTCCCCGGAGAGCGACGACAATGACGAAATGTTTTTAAAAAAAATTACAATAACCAAGTAAATTAACATAATAATATTAATAGCTACATAATATATTATTGTTGTATTTTTTGGTAATTTTTTTTCTTTCTAAATAGTGCACTCAACAACATAGTTGTACATAATTAATCGTGGTATTATAATTTTTGATTTTTCGAAATTATATTTTAACTGCAGGAAATCTATTCTAAAAATTATACCATCAAAATCTTTGTTAAAATATATCAAAAGTAAATGTTTAATATAAAATATGAATAATATGGCGGACGTGACATTTAACATAATATTATGTTGAGTGATACGTAGGTATACAGGAGTCGAGGAAGTGATTATTCTATCATGGAAAAATAAGAATTATTGGAATAACAATGAAACTTATTTTACTGAAATACTAGGCAAAATGTTACTATTCAACGGTGTTTGGGGGGTGTTTTCTCGTTTTTCTACCGTCAACCTTGCCGTCGTCGAACTCAATAACCATACAAATATCACGGCCGTGTCCGTGTGTTGTGATAGAGGAGAGGCTCTTTATCACGCGATTAAAACACTGTAGCCGTATGTACGTGTCATGACAAAATCAACATATCCGAGCCAAATATTTTGGTAGGGCGTCCACTTTACCCTTACTTAACGGCTAAAAAAACTCCTATCCTTGGACGTTTTATGTATCTTAGGTACAAATAAGATAGAATTTGAGAATTATTCCCTTTTGAAATTTATCCACGAATAGCCCCCTCCCAAAAAACCCTGTAAAATGGTTACGTCCCACCGTCTCAGCCAAAAATGATCTATCATATATTAGTCTTATAATGAATTATTTTTGCTTAGGCCCCATACAAATTTTAGCTCTATTTACTTTATTAGGTCTATGTTAGAGATCTATGCAATTTTTATTTTCAAATAATGTATATGGTATAGGTAGCACATTACAGTAATATGCTAGCTTTTTATTCAATTTTTAAGTAAAATTAAAGAATAAAATATTAAAGCTAAAGTACTAAAATAACTCTGTGGCTTGGTGCAAAAAGGGCCAATATCATTTATTGTGATTGTTGGAAAATGTGCTTTCAAATTTTAATTTCCCATAAGAATCTGTGTCTTTTATTAAATGAAAATGTTTGTTTAATTTTCAATTTTTTAAACAACTTTAAAAAAAAATAAAAAACTTGTTCATTTTTCTTTTTTTACTAACCTTATTTAAAAAAATTAATATTGGCACCAAGCCACAGAATTAATAACATTTAATTAAGATACCTATTCAATAATAAAAATACACTAGTCTTCCAAAATTCTCAGGGGCAATTGTCGCTCATATAAACATTTGCCACGCCACTGATCTGTGTAGCCCCCACACGTAGTCGGCGAACGAAGACGAACGCGACGGAAGAATAAAATAGTTCCGGGTCGGGGGTCTGCCGCTCCCATTCGTCGTTGTCACCCCGTATCTTATGATGTATACATAATATTATTGTTATTAATTGTTATTATTTATGCACGTAGGTGACCTTTTGTCAAAATGCACGCCCAACTTGGTTCGGCCGCCACCGCACGACGACTGTTATAATATAAGGCTAGGTGAAGACAACTATTATAATAAGTGTATACAGGATGATGTGATAAATCTTTCGTAAGGCACTGCAGTAGAATTACACCTAGGAAAGTGCATTGAATTTTTTTTTTGGATATTTTATTTTGAAACTTCTCTGAATAGATCCAGAAGTAATATGGGTAAAATACAAATTTGCACACCACAGCTGTTTAGTCCCCACCTCCTCGTACCGGTAAAATTATTGAACTTAAAAATGGTAGATAATTCATAACGTTTCTCGCGAACAGTATCACTTAATAATGATACTTTTAACTGAACTCCGTTCAGAATCGTTTATTATAATGGTTTATCGTTGATTATAGGTATACATTAAATTATCTATAACATTGGCTACACCCGTTGCCATTATCCTGGGATGTCTTTTTTATTTTTATCATATAATAATATTATGGTTGTTGACTGTTCGCGGACGTTCGTTTTTCCTGTAAACTCTTGACGAACGCCGATATAAATTATAATGTACCTATATTATTTAAAACTCAATGTAAAAATAAAGCATATTTTTAGCGCATATTATAGAGTTTTTAAGTACATACGTGCTAACACGTTTAGTGTTTTTTTAGAGCTACAGATCCTCCGACCTAATAATAATATAGATTACCATTTGAAAGTTGTTTAACAGTCGGTATAGCTATTTCTTAATGATTTAACTATTAATCACGTAAGTACGGACAAATACTAATATAATAGTACTTAATAAAAACTAATAGTATACTAAAATACATTCAACATTGCTTATATTATTATAAAGATTCAGGACTTTATGCATTTAAAATCCACAGAAAACAGCTTAAAAACGCCAAAAGAGCTCTGAAAAAAAAGCAAAAATAACAGAAGGCCAAGAGGGGTTTACAATTTTCTTCCCCAACCTTCTAACCATTAAATGCAATCATTTAATACATGTAATTTTCTTTTTTTATAATAAGTACTTACAATTTTATTTAAAAACTTGTGTTAATAATTTTTGTGGTGTTCAAAAATTGTATTTTATAAGTTAGAGACATTAGAAGAGGTTTTTTTAAAAAAAAACATACTACAATTTTTGTTTTTTTTTTTATCGTTTTATTGTGGATTTTCAGTGCATTAAGTGCATTTAAGTGCATTAAAGTGTCGTAATTATTATAATACGGTTTGTTTCCCGAGATAACGATTGTTTTACGGAATATTTATCTATCAATCACTCTGTATACTATATACGTAAATTAATGATAATGATATTATGATAATATTGTGGCGTACAGAACAACAATAATATTATAACTTAACATTATGCGAGTTTGGTAGCTTCACGGTTGTACGGGACGTACAAATACCGATAAAATTAAAATGTGCTGTATAAATATTATTGCGCGCTCCGCGGGAAAACGAACAATTATCGGCGACGACATTGTTATAGGCACGTTGCACACACGCCGATATTATCGGTGTCGGGTTATGATGTACTTTTCGCATTAGCTAATTATGTCTAAAGTGTCCGATTAAACTAATGCCTTGGAGCAAAAGACGATAAACATATAATATACGCGTCAAAAAATTGTTCTAAAAGTGGATCGATGAATCCTTATTTATTATAAAAATTATTTTTCTAACGTTCTCGTGGCTGTAGTAGATTCTAACTTTATCAATTTATTTATGTAGACAAGTACATTTGATTCAGATTTGTGATTAGTCAGTTCTAAAAGAAACTGTTTATTTTTGTTTTTTAAATGAACAAAAATTAAATATTCCAACAGCAAAACGATTACATTCTTTTTTAAATGAAAATGTACGTTATGTGTAAGTTGGCCTTTATACTTTCTAATAATTTGTTAATACCACATGGAGGGCATCAATTAAATATACCTAAAATAATTTTTAATTATCGTTTAACACGTGCTCGAAAGTATGTAGAATGTATTTTTGGAATCCTTTCAAACATATGCCGGTTTTTTTATAGGGCTTTAAATGTTTTTAAACTATTCACCCAAAGATATTTTTAAAGCGTATGTAAATTTACACAATGTAATTCGCAAGAAAAACGTTATTAATTTGAGCAAAATTAAAATTTTGATATTAATTCAAATGTCTTACAAGTATTCAATGTATTCCTACAAATAGAAGTGGATGAATGGCTAACGAAATTAGAGATTCATTTAATAACCATTTGATAAACCCTTCTGGTTTTCTATCATGCCAAATGTCAACAATTTAATTACACATTTTTCAAATATTAATATCGTTCATTTTCTTTTTATTAGTTAAACCATTATGATTAGTAGTGTGCACCAATTTATAGAATGTATTATTTTTATGCGATTTGAATTATTATAATATTAATTGACAATATTTGTATTAATGATACTATACAAAGTGCGTCCCATAAGTTTTGAGACTAAGATTACTGATTTAAAAAAAAAAATGTTTTAAGCAATTTTTTGTTCAAAATAGTCACCATTATATTCTATACATCTTCTAGCGCAATCACCCAATTTTTCCATGGCCCGTGAAAAGTCAGCTTCAGGAATGTTCTTGAACTTTTGGATCACCGCTTCTTGAATCATTTCAATGGTGGCAAAATAGTACCCCTTGAGTTCCATCTTCAACTTTGGGAACAGAAAATAATCCGGAGGACTCAAATTTTTTTGGCCAAAAATTGAGTGACAATCGCCGCGGTGTGTACTGGAGCATTATCGTGCAGCAAGAAAAAAGACCGATCTTTCCACAAAGCGGGCCTAACGCGTACAATTCTTTTACAGAGGCGATCCAAAACGTTTTTTTTAGTATTAGGCATTAACAATACTTCCTGGGGGCACAAATTCTTTGTGTATAATTCCTCGGGAGTCAAAAAAAATAATTAACATGGTCTTGATTTTGGATTTCTGAAACCGAAGTTTTTTTGGTCGTGGCAAATTTTCCTCAACCCACTGTGTACTTTGCCGTTTGGTTTCCGGGTCATAGGCAAAACACCAGCTCTCGTTACCCGTAATAATATTTTTTAAACCATTTGGAGTGTTTGTGACCATTTGAAGCAAATCTTCCGCGTGAGAAACACGTCTCTGTCGTTGTTCCGTGGTTAACACATGAGGAACAAAGTTTTCTTTTCCTTAAATCTTCTCTGATAATTCGTTGAACAATCGTTTTCGGGATGCCAGTTAACTCTTCCACTAACTTACAACTACCGTTTTGATGTTCGTTCAAAACAGCTGAGACGCGAGCAATGTTTCCGTCAGTTTTCGCTGTGGTCTTCCGCATCTCTGCTCGTCATCAAACGACTTTCTGCCGGATGAAAACTGACTATACTACCGAAATACAGTGGCACGAGACATAAATAACTCACCATACGCTTTGGTCATCATTTGGAATGTTTCTGTAGCATTTTTTTCTAACTTAACACAAAATTTTATCGTAATTCGTTGTTCAAGATTTTTTTCCATATTAAAATTATAACCGCGATCACAAACATACATTCATGACAGATACGATTATACTGCCAGAGATTATCCTATACACGTGAAACTTTGTACGAATGATTATGAGTGTTATCGTAATAATTTTCCAGAATTTTATAATTATCTAAATACTAGTATTAATTTTAGAATAGATGTCTCAAAACTTATGGGACGCACTGTGTATAATGTTTTAAAAATCTTAATAAAATATATTTTCACTATCCAGATAGTTACTATTATTTAATGATATTATTAATAAACTATTATGTGAACTATAAATTCACCAATTTTTTGTTGATCTTCATTACTTATTTCTACAAAATTATTTTGTAAAAATGAAAATACTTCTCTCCACTAATTTTAGATTCTGAGTGGAGCAAGAAACGTATTGGTTTTACAATGATGTTTATTTTTAAAATTTTTTTTAAATTTCTGAACAACTTTTCTACCAGCAATTTCGCTTCAATTTACAACGAAAGTATTTTTTCTGAAAGGAAATCTGAATAGCGTGATACTTTAATGAAGTCATTTTTTTGATTTTGCCAGGAGTTTTCCCAGCAAATGTGAATAACCCGGTAAAAACATGGGAAAGCCGGGAAATACGCAAGAAAAATGGGAAAATCGGTACAATATTAAACAAATATTATAACAGAAAATATATGATGCCTATTTCTAATTTTATTCATACAAATTTAGATAATAATAAAATAATTTTAAGGATAATCTTAGATTTTAAAAAAGTTTTTGACTCAGATCAGAACATTTTAATTGAATAGTTTGAATACTTAAGTATTAGAGAAAAAGCTCCAGAATTATTTGTTTCATACTTAAGCAATAGAACACAAGTTGTACAAATTAATAATGTTCTAAATAATCCTGTAACAACAATACATGGAGTTCCTCAAGGTACAGTTTTAGGTCCAATTTTTCTTATTATTTACGTTTGGTTTTCTTAATTTGAAAATTGATGGTACAATGATATCTTATGCTGATGATATAATTATATTGGTTAAGGAAAATAATAATAATGTCTTATATAAATCTGCTCTGTCCTGTTTAAATTTAGTTAAAAATATGTTTATTTTTGCTTATCAAATTTTACTAAAAATTTTTTTCATAATTGTAGATCACTTTGCACAGTGAATAGCTGTTTACAGTCAGATATCTGTGTACGAGACATTACTTGTATAGACATTGAAATTGTTAATACAATTAAATATTTGGGGGTGAATGTTGATGAGAAGTTTAAATAGCATAATCACATTCGACATGTAACAAACTTAATTCGTAATTATTTTATATTTTTAAGAGTTCAAAATACATTTTAAGTCGAACATTTTTAAGAATAGTGTATATGTCTCTTGCTCAATCAGTGATGAGTTATGGTATCTGGGAAAGAAATTATAATACATATATACAAATTTTAGATGTTACAATGCGTAGTTTAATACAAATAATCTTAAAAAAACCGTTAAAAAAAGTTCGTATTCCATGGAAAATTTGTTTATCGATTTTAATATTTTTAATTTAAAATATTTTTTCTATATATATATCATTTTATATATGCCTAAAGTTGATCTATCATTTTTTAACCCGAAACATACTTACAATACTCGACTTAAAACTCTATAAGTGATTTGAATTATATAAAAGTGAATAAGCAGTTTAGAAAACTGAATGCTATATATTTTGGTATTGATTTATGTTAAAAACTTAACATAGATATAAATACATTTAAGAATAAAAACCGTCTTGTAAAATTTATTAATTCAATTGATCTATTATAAATAATATTCTAATAAATCTGTTCTCATTTGAATTGTAATACTATGATCGTATAATAAGTTATTTCGAAATTTGTTTTAAAAAACATTTAAGAGATAAAGTGTTCTAAAATTTAACATTTGTATTATTTTTTGTCACCCTAATTTTTGGGGGTGAAACGACTACCCAAATTTGATTTTCAAATGGTAACCTGTATAAAAAATTCTATAAATATATGTAATTGTAGTTAAAATAAATTTTGGTATTTAAAATTTTTATTTCCGTCAATCTGTTGATTAGATATTCCACTTTTAAGTTTGGGTCGGAGGAGTAGTGATACATTATTAAAACGCCGCGCGCTGTGCTGCCACACAGATGATGCTCCACTACTCTTCCCCGACCCAAACTTAAAAGTGGAATATATCATCAACGGATTGACGGAAATTAAAAATTTAAACACCACCATCTTTTTTTTCTAACTACTATTCCATATATTTATAGAATTTTTAATATAGGTTGCCTTTTGAAAATCAAAATTAGGTAGTCATTTCACCTTTAAAAATTAGCGTGATAAAAAATAACATAAATATAAAATTGCAGAGCTGCTTGCTTCTAAAATGTTTAACTATTAACTGAACTTCACTTAGAATCATTTTTAGTAAGCAATGATTTATCGTTGCTTACAGATACAAATTAATTTCTCCTCTGTATCCTATCTTCTCAACTTCTCACCAACAACAGTGGGTACACCCGTTCCAGTTATCCCCTTTACATTTCGTACATTTTCCTGTTTTTCCTCGGTTTTTCTTATTTATTTATAAGGAAAACTCCTGAGAAAATTAAAAAGTAATCACCCTAAAGAACCTCTCCTGTCAAATTTTCTTTTGAGAAGATTGCTATTATTGTAAATCGGAGAAAAATTACTGGTAAAAAAGTTGTCCACTGAAAAAAAAAATTAAAAAATATAAATATCTTTGTAAAACCATAAGCTTCTGTGCTCCATTTCGAATCTAAAATTTACGTAAATCACATAATTTATAGTACCTACTATATACTACTTAGACCTGTTCCAATTATATTATTTTATTAAAAACTGCAGAGTGTTCAACATTAACCAGCACGTTTGAGACAAATTATATCATTCGTTTCTTCGTCCGTTGTATACCTATATTATATTTTTTAATGTTATGTACCATAGGTAATAGGTATATTCGTAAATAGTTTAGGGGATTGAAGATCAATATTTTAAGAGTAACATCTTTTGTTCGATTTAATTTCAGTTTATTTTTTTTTACACATTTTTAAATCAGTTTTTTTTTTTTGGAAATGAAGGTCTAAAATTTAAAAAATTTGCCTGATTCCGATCTCATTGCTTACATTGAATTCAAATATGTTTTTAGAATAATTCTTATCGCTTCACTATAACGCACTGATTGAAGGAAAATTGATCTAAATTGATATTTATTATGTATGCTGCGTATATGTTAGGACAAAGAAAGAAATTATTGATATCCAACTTTCTTTTAGTTTATACAGTGAGACTATAGTTTACTTAACACGACATTTTTAGCTTAATCGTAGCCCATCTTAAAATCATAGATAGTTCAAGTTTCTGTTTTCACGCGATGAAATATAATATACATTCTATGTTTACTATTTACGTACGTTTTACTTTAACACACACACTCACTGAGCATGCATAATGTATATTTAAACTTTCATGTAAAAGTACATGAAAACAAACTGTTCTCTTTGAATTATTATTCAGTCGTATAATATATCTATATTATTATCATTATAAACCAATTCAATAATTGGTCAAACGAGGTACAATCGAGGACTTTAAAAGGAGCACATAATTCGAATTCAGAAGAAATACGTTTCAAGAAACTTAAAATTTGTAAAGCTTTACAACAGGTGCTCTCGATATGGAGATTGTGATTTAGCAAAGAACATAAAGTAAAACCGAGATCATGAATTTCACTTTTAGCACTGAGAAAATTTGAGCCTTGAATAACATAGCTGAAGATAACAGATTTAAAACGATGAGCAAGGGTCATAATAAAACACTTGGAAATCTTCAAATGGAAGTCCAAATTATTAAACCAGGTGACATTATCCAGATTAGATTGTAATTTGTTACTGCAATCAATAGTATTAATATGAAAAATATTTTCAAATCATCGACGAAGGCTAAAAGTAAAAAAGCTGTTATTAAGAACGCGGTTAATGCTATTCATTTAAATAAGGAAAAGAAGAGAGAAAAGGTGGCCACCCACCTATAATTGATTAGTTTATATCTTTACGCAATGATAAATCACTTTTGATTGCTAATGAATCCTAAGCGAAATTCAGTTAAATAAGAAACATTGATATGCCCGGTC